TAATGATTAAGAGCCCATCGAGTGACCAGTCAGAGAGCTTACGTATTTCAGCTGCTCTCATGAGCTTCATCCAGATATTATGACGAGTACTGACTCAAAGGCTTTAGATTGCAGAGACTTTCATGGATGAAAAATTCGTCTGTAAGGTATCTGCACATATAGAAAACTACAAATTTTCCAGTTCATAACCTCCTAAATTGCACAAGATAAGATTTTCAAGACAAAAGAATATTACTAGATATGCATGCCTGCTGAAGTTGTATCTTCAAAGTTGAATAGCAAGCTCCAGGGCAACTCAGCTGGTAAGACAACACGCACCCAAGACAGGGAGAGGATAAGAAGGCATAAATCACAAAGGTAAAAGAAAAGGAAAGAAAAAAAGGATCAAATGGAGAAGAAAGGACCCTTTGACATGGACACACAGATATGTCAAATGTAACTCAGTGACTGCAATGGAGATAAAAACAGAAAGCCTATGATAACAATCACTAGTTTGTACTCGTATATGTTATAACCTGGTCTAATTTAAGTTCTCATGTGGGGACTGATGTACATGGAGAAAAAAAGAACCTTCAACATTAACACACAGATATGTTAAATATAACTCACTGACTGCAATGGAGATAAGAACAGAAAGCCTATGATAAAAATTACTGGTTTATAAGCGTATATGTTATAACTTAGTCTAATTTAGGTTCTCATGGTGGTGAATGATGTTCATATCCCTTACACAAGGGAAGGAAAACAATCACTCACCCAAATGAAAAAGTTGAATTCGTTTACTATGATTTGGTTAGCACTAAATTCCAATTGTCATGAAGAACGGACTTTGGCATTTTGGTCTTATGAGGTTTGAGCACTTGCAACCATTTTCAAGGATGTTGCAGCATTATCCCTAATAAAACTTTTCAACTATGTATTTTAAATGTTAGGATGCCTAGAAATTGGTTTCAAACTACCAAATCAAAATAATATTTTCAGGAATTCTTGCCTGGGAGATAAGGTCCAAGGAGTTTTAATATCGAGTCCAATAATAAGTAGGAATCCACCTTAACCTAAAATCTCAAGGTGATAGGTTTTGGGACCAACTTACTTATTAACTGTTTTATGGGATAATCCACAACAATCTCCCCCGTCATGAATAACTCACCACATCAAATCCCAATTCCAATTTCAGTTATAACGGCACCAAGCCCACCTCTATTCCAAGTAAAAAAGGAGACAACTTCTGGAGTATCGAGTTCCATGGATCAACCCAGGTGCATAACTCCCAAAGGCCCAGAAGCCTACACCAAGCCCAACTAACATTTGGCTCACATACCACTTGTCAGGAATTCCGGCCCGGAAGTTTCAATATCGAGCCCACAAACTGAGTAGGAACACGCTTCAATCTAAAACCTCAAGGTGACAGATTTTGAGACCAACATATTAAGTGTTCCGATGTAGACCAATCCACCTACTCATAACCACAACAAATATCAAGGTAAGGGAGAATTGACCTAGTAGGTTAGCTTCCAAAACATCTTGATAACTCTAGTAATTCTCCTAGACTAAAATGGTACTACGCATGGCAAATCCTTTTGACTTGAGCTGCATTCCAACTTTGTCAGAAGTCATCCTGCTTCACAATCCCAGAAAATGATGGTCGACAGAATATCTAGGCTAGGCATCTTTTTTTCAAGTTTTGGTATTCAATTGCGTGTAATCCAAGAGGCCTGGGTTGGATTGTTTTTTCCCAAGTCACTTTTGTGGATTTGGCAGTCCTCATTTCTTTCGAACTTTATGTAAAATATTTTACATTTTCAAGCTTCTTAGCCTAGTCTTTTCCCGAACTCACTGTGCAAGAACTCGGAGTTTGCAAAACCAGAGAGGAATTTGAGAATGGTAACTGCAGCATGAATGTAATGAGTACATCCTTAGATTAAAAGTACTACTGAAGTGCTACTTCTACAAAACAAATAAGCAAGGCGCGGTCTGGAATGACAATTGAGTATACATGTACACACACACACACACACACACACACACACACACACACACACACACACACACACATATATATATATATATATATATGTATGGTACGTCATTCCATGCCTAATTTTTTTTTCATATCATTTATCATTTTATGAATAATTTTCAAATCTATAGTTTACTTACATTCAAGATTTCTTATACTTCATTCTTATATACCTTTGCAAGTCACACATTACCAACAAATTCATCTTGTTCCTCAATTTGAAATTTTGTCTGGAGGCAAACGTGAAAACTTTTATGTGAAAGCTTGGAATTTGACACTGAAATTGCAGTGTAATGAATGAATGAACTTGTTTAATTTGGTGTTCTGTAGAATGGGAAAAGGCCAAGCAGTTTGTGGTAAATTAGGGTAAATTAAATATGCATTTTAAACCACGAGAAGGCTCCAAAGCCATTGTGTGGCTCTTTATAAACATAAAAGAGCATAAGGATTCCTATTTTAGTAGATAGTGGAATTTAATGCGCGCGCACACACACTCACACACACACACACATATATATATATATATAAATATAAAATATCAAATATGAATGTAACTAAAGTGCTAAACTTACATCTTACTATATTAGAAACAAAAATCACACTTAAGAGAAAGCACCACCATTTGCCATGTTGCATTTCCATATCATATTTTTAAAATAAATTTTTATTTACATATTAGTTTTCTAGACTTAAAAGACAAATGCAGTCCAAATCCACCTCCACCTCCTATTTTCGCCAAAAAAAAGAAATCACAGATTCATAAAAACCCCAAATCCTCATCCCCATCTCCACGACAATCGAGTCCCTAATTAATCCCTTCTCCACAATAAAAAAAAAAGAAATTCCTCATCAATCATCAACTGAGAATATGTGGTGAAATATACTCCTTTTTTATTAGCATGTTCAATCTTTTCATTAGTGATAATCAACTACATCCTAATGGAATAAAATTTTGACTTGAAGAAATATTCTCTTTACCTCTCTATATAAACACAAAGGAAAAAAAAGAAATTCTCATTGATCTTGTTTCGGCCGTTGTGGTGATGCCATTACAGGTATTAAAATTTAAATGATTTTATTTCCACAGATCATTTGTTTGGCTTTTTTTACATTTTATTTTTCCCGTTCAAGAATAGTGTTATTACTATTATTTTTATGCGACCATCCGTTACAGCTACCGTAGCCGTTGCCTGGTAATATGATGTGATTTCTTATATGGTTAGTTAGCCTAAGATTTTTGTATGATTTTAGTTTTGTTTGGATTGAATTGATCAATTGGGTTTTTGTTACAAAGTGTGATTTTTTTAATTTCTTTTTTATGTTTCATTCCATTAGAGCGATTTTCTTTTTTTTTTTAATTATGGAGCCTCAGTTTTTTTTTTCGTATATGGTCAGTTTTGATGTGTGTTTTTTCTTTGTTTAATTTCTTTTGATTTTGTTTCATACTCCCAGTTGACCAATTATTATTATTATTTTTTTTGGCAAATGAAATGCGTTTTTTTTTTTTTTTGTGTTCAGGCTTTCATGAATATACTTTTTTGGATTTGGTTTTTGAACTTTTTTGAGTTCCTCATCATATAAATAGTTCCGGTTGCTTCTTCTAACTAATTCATGGGGAAGTCTTTTATGAATTTGAGGTGGAGAGGGAAGGAATGATGTTTTTACGTTTATTTGTGTTTTTATATATTATTTTTACCTACAAGAAAAAAATAATTTCTCAATTTTTAATGGGCTCTTTTACTTTTTTTATTATTTTATTTGCTATAGTGAGGTGAATTCTTTTTTGCTATAAATTGAAACCTATGCAAATTTACATTAATTTTTATTCTCATATTTGTGATCAACCTGTTTAAACAATTAACCAGTTTCAAAACTATATTTTTGATATTTTACTACCTTTAAACCTTTGGAAGAAACAGTTCCAATAATTAAGCGTATACCCTTCGGAGTAAGCTTACTACAAAGCTATTATAAATCTCCTTTACTAAGTATTGATTTAGCACGACCAATGGAGAACATCAATAAATCATCTTGCTAATATTTAAATTTATTAAGATACTTTTATATTTTGTCTAACATTTACTTCAAGATATATATTTGATCAAGTTTATTTATATTTAATAAGTAACACTTATAAATCATTTCTAAGATCTTCAAACATTTTTAAAACGTAACGGGCCAAATACAATTTCTTTTTTTTGCCAAACATAAACATTTCTATGATCACACTTATAAAATATTTCTAAATTCTTCGAATGTTTCTAAAATATATCGAGCCAAATACAAAATATTTTTTTTTTTCAAATAAAAATATTTCTAATATCTAGAGATATACTGGGTTAGGGTCGCACATTGCACGACCAGACATCACTAGTATATAGAGATACTATCTTCTATCGGAACCATTCAGTACTCTATAAAGAAAGTAAGAGGTGCCCTACAACAAATTTAGCAATTCTTTCAAAGCAAGTGAGCGATGTGTTTCATAACTAAGTGAGCAATGCACGAATATTTTTTTCCGCCTAAATTCAGAGCAATTTTTATATATTGGTATGATAAATATAATAAAAACAAAGATAGGCTAGTCACAAAAAAAAAAAAATATTATCTTCCCTTTTTACTTTCTCATTTTGATTTTATATAAATTCATTAATGTATGCTAAGTTTGTTCATATATGCATCTCGTGTTCTACAAAATACAACTTCTATTTATAGGAGTGGCTTTCCAAAACAGCGAACTAGTATTTTTTTTTTTATGTGGAGGCCACCAAAAAAAAAAATTGACTCACCAAAATGATTTATTTAAAACTTAATTAGCTGGTTTAATTATCGATCCATGAACTAGTATTTTTTAAAAAGGAAAATTGAAATATCAAACCGATTAGGATTTGGATTTGCGGAGTTTAGAGTATATATATAAACCACTCCCCAGGCGCCCACTTGATCCAAAACAACGGCCGGAGGACGATCATACATGAGCATGGAGGAAGCCCACCGGCGAATCTCGGAGTACATAAACCTCTTCTCCGCCGCCGTATCCACCCAAGACGGCAAATCCCTCAGCCACCTCTTATCCATCTCTTCAGATTCTCCTCCTTTCATCTACCTCGCCGATGCCCTCAACACCTTCCTGGAATATCCCACTACATTGATAAACCAATATCCCGACGACGAATTCGCGCGGCACGCGGGCATAATACTTCCCATCTTCCAAACCCTCCAAAGTTACCGTCTCAGAAACTTTGTCCATTCTTACCAGGCCTTCGAAAAGGCTGCCAATTCTTTCATCCAGGAATTTCGGAACTCGGAATCGGCTTGGGCTTTAGAAGCAGTCTTTGTACTTGTGTACGAGATTAGGGTTCTTGCGGAGAAGGCTGATAGAAAAGAATTAGAAGCTAACGGGAAAGACCCGGAAAAGTTGAAAGCCGCCGGTTCACTTCTCATGAAGGTTTTCAGTATTCTTGCTGGAAAAGGTCCAAAACGAGTTGGAGCTCTGTATGTGACTTGTCAGCTTTTCAAGATTTACTTCAAGCTTGGCACAGTTCATCTTTGTCGCAGTGTTATAAGAAGCACTGAAACTGCTAGGGTTTTCGATTTCGAAGAATTCCCTGTTCAGGATCGGGTCACTTATATGTATTACACCGGACGTTTGGAAGTCTACAATGAGAATTTCCGAGAAGCTGATTATAGGTTGTCGTATGCTTTGGCGCGTTGCGATCCTCGGAAGGAAGCGAATATAAGGAAGATTCTTACCTACCTTGTGCCTATAAAGTTGTCTATTGGAATCTTGCCTAAAGCATTGCTTCTGGAAAGCCATGGCTTGAATGAGTATGTCGATGTCGTGTTAGCCCTAGAACGAGGTGATATTCGGCTCCTTAGGCATGCTCTCAGGGAGAATGAAGACCGGTTCTTAAGATCCGGAGTTTACCTTGTGTTGGAGAAGCTAGAGCTTCAAGTTTACCAGAGATTGTTGAAGAAGATTTACTTGATCCAAAAGGACAAGGATCCTGGAAAAGCCCATCAGATTAAATTAGATGTCATTGTTCAGGCAATGAAATGGCTTGAGATGGATATGGATATTGATGAAGTGGAATGCATAATGTACACTCTAATCAGCAAAAATCTTGTCAAAGGGTACTTGGCTCATAAGTCCAAAGTGGTGGTTTTAAGCAAACAAGATCCTTTCCCTAAATTAAAGGGCAATCCTGTTGGTTGTTAGAACTGTTATACTGATGCTTGATGATCAGAGAGGTAGCTGCTCCAATGACCCAGTTGAAGCTGGAATGGCATTGATTGCTTTGAGAATCTGTGTTTCATAATCGACACGAGAACAAATTTAGTCTATAACGTTAGAGATTAGGCATTTATTCAAGATCAGTAGCTACCATAATTCTATTGTATAAATATGTAATTCTTGTTGAAGAAAGTTCTGTTAGGTAGATTACATTTGCAATAAAGTTATTTTACTGATTAGTATTGTATCTATTTTGGTAAGGAAAAAACAGTTGCTGCATTAGTATAATTGAACTTAATTTGTAGTGTTCTCTTTTTGTAAACTGAAGTTGTAGCTCAATCAACTGTTTCAATATAGATCGATCTTGTAGAACTAAATTATTTGTAGATCAATTATTTCCGAAACAAGAAACACTATGTAACTTTTGTGCTCGCTGCAAATTATACTACCTCATAAAACAAGGCTAAAGAAAATAATTATACGAAGTTTACACTTGTCACTCATAATGTGGAGATGGATGTTACAAAACCTTTATTTGTGAAAAACATTTAATTTTCATCTCCATAATTTATTCCGAGGCACAAGTTGAAACAGAATGCTTGCTTCTGCCAGCTTTATTGATCACAGATGAAAGGATGATTAATAATAGGACTAATTCTTGCTGATTAATTATTTATTGCAAGCTACTCCGTTTCCACGTGACAACTTCCCGGTGCAGTCTAACGTGCTATAGAATGAGAGTATTGACGGGACGGATTCACCTGAAACTTCATCTGGAGAGTAAATACAAGTCTTGCAATCCGCCGTAAGCAGCGAAGTTGTTCTGTATCTATTTTCTCCTCCCAAAACAGGCATAACTACACCTGGTTTTGCCGGATTCACATAATCAGGCTGATATGTTCGGCCTAATACGCCTTCCACTTTCGCCGAAAGTGAGTAGAACCTAAACTGTACCTCCAAATGAGCAAAACAATCATTAGAAGGAATCCCATAGTTGTGGATTCGGCTGTCTTCCTTCGTTACAGGAACAACATTGATTAGTATTTCCACAAGACCCGGAATCTTCACAATTGCCCTGTTCTGGTCTGCTGTTCTTTTGATGATTATTATTGTTGTTGTATCCTTCTGATGAGTCCATGTGGAAAAAGCGCCTTCTGGTTTGATGATTCGCCTTCCATCAAAGGTGAATTTGAAGTGATCGATGTTTTCATCCCACGTGGCGGCTTTCGTGGCCTCAACAGAGAAGTTGTGGGAGTTGAAGAGGATACCCAATGCTTGAATCCAGGTGAAGTCTCTCGGCCTACCGGCCGGCCTATGGCCGATAAAGCGGCTGTTGATTTGAAGGTTGTGATCGGAGACTAAGCTGAAATGCTCGTTGCTCTTGCCGTGAAAGTAGAACACACCTCCATCTGCGCCGATGAAGCGAGGATCAAAGCATGCCGATCCGGGGCTATCACAACTTAAATCCATTGCTGCAGTTATTGCAAACACTTATATGTAAACATTAGACAAAAAAAAAAAGAAAAAAAAAAGGTACAAATCTCAAAACTCAATGTGGACTATTTTCTGGGTCGGAAGGAGTACTGGTTGATTTGGAGTGATTAAGGAGGCTTTTGCCTGAAATATACTTACAGAACGTAATATAGATAAGTCGAATTATAAGCATAGCGGATTAAAGGGATAAGAAGACAACTTACGCCTGCAAAAGGGAGAGCAAGTTGATCCAAGAGCACCACAATTTGGTTGGCACCATTTAGTAAATCCTGGGCCGGTTTGCATGAAGAAATTCGGGCACTCTTCTGGGCAAGTTACGGTTTGTCCTTCACATGTGGTGTAAATCGGACAAGTAAAGCTATATGGTGCTGCATCTACCATGGCTACATTAAGAAAACTTACAATAATGAATGCAGAAATGCAGCTTATGACCTTCATTTTCTTTCCTGATTGATGACTATTGTTATTACATTTTCTTCTGAAAAGAATTCCTGATGTGTCCTTTTATTTCTTACATTTACAAAATGGCTTGATGAATTTTAGATGACTTCTAGACTGAATAATTACTTGATAATAAAGTTGGTATTAGCTCAGGCCCTAAGTAATCAAGAACGTGGTCTAGTTACTGTGCTTGACACTGGCCTTTCTTTAATCAATCCGAAATTACTTTAGTATTTTGGTCAACTCTTTGGGTTGTTGACTGTGCAAAACTTTCTTGACTTTGGACTTAACAATCATTTCAAGACCAAAATTTGTTACCTAGCTCTAAATTGATTGAATTCGCTTCAATGTGCGAAACCAGGCACAATGTCGTAGATATGAAATTTATAGACTCAGTTTGTGTGATAAAAGGAAAAAACATGGTTGTATGTCGTAGTCTTTTATGCAATTTTATGATCAATTTAAAAAGAAAGAAATTGTATCGATTTTAAGAATGAAATTGAAAACTTATTCAACGTTAATCTCGGATGAAGTTTGATTTGATTAGTCCTATATAGTATATAGTACTCACTCCGGTCATTATAAGGTATTTTGATATGTCCTGATATTTATTTTTAATATGTTCTTCTAATTGAAAATAAAATCTTAAAAATATTTTATAATGTTTGCATTACAACAAAAATGAGTAGTTGAGACGTTTTTGTGTCTCAATAAGTGGTGTAATAGAACACATGTAATTTAAATTGTGTGAAACACTACTAAATAGTGTCTACTATAATCAAGTCACAATAAGTCATTAGATATTTAAAAGTATATTATTGTCATTTCATAAAAAAATTTTAAGCGACTCATTAAGTAAGCTAATAGGGCACAAACAACCTAAATAGTAGACTTATGATAGTGGTTCATAATATGAACACACCTGTTCATTTTTCAATAGACATGTTTTAGCAAATGTCCTCATACACATATAATGAGACACATTTTAGGAAAAAACATTCCACCGTAAAGGTATTAATAGCCCTTATCTGTTATAGTGTTAGGAGGGCACAATAAATATGGAATAAATTTTTAAGATTTTATTTTCAATCAAAAAACATATTAAGCGAAATTTAGGACTAATCAAAATGTCTTATAATAATGATTGGAGAGAATATACACAACCATATTCTCCATAGAGTAGTGTTAACTCGGAATATTGGATGTTAAAATTAAAGTGTTAATTTATCGAGCAATTATGCAGTGACTCCACACTAAGAAAAAGGTGTGATAACACTCTGCTATTAAGTCTTACTGCCATCCTCTTTATCGTTCTGTTGTAATTGTACTAACCAGAAATTAAAACATGGTAAACTCTCTAGGGATGGCGTATTCTAGACATTCAGTGTTACATACAAACAAAAAATTAATGGGTGTATTGTTATTCAAAAAGAAAGTAGATTAATCACGAACAAAATTAATGGGTGTATTAATTATGTACTCCTCTGTCTCATAATTATTGTCCAGTTTGGATTTTTATTTCTTGTTCAAATTGTACTAAAAGTGAAATCTCAAATTGGACAATAATTTTGGGACAAAAAGAGTGTAGTTTAGTTAGTCAAAGCAAATACTACTCCCTTCCGTCCTTGTTGGAAACATTAAAACGAGTTCAAATTTGTGACTCATGCTTAAATAATTAGAATGAGAGGCTTTTTCAAAAAAAATTAGAATGAGAGGAAGTACCATCATTTTGTCACCTTTTCTTAAAAAGATAAAGACCAATATGTTATTGTTCAGTTGACATTCCGGTGAATGCCTTGTAAAGTTATCCATTTCTGACTTATCATAAGACTTAATCATTCAAAAGACTGTATATGGGCGTTTTCGATTTTTTTTTTTTTTGGCGATTTCCTTGTATTTTAGCAGCAATATAGTATAAACTAAGGTTTTTAAAATTCCGACTTCAAATCTTAAAATCTACAATTTTATGACTTTAATGTACTATATCGATTCTAAGTCTATTAGAATTTTAATCTGTGTTAGAATCTTAAATTCTCGCTAGAATCTTTAAAATGTTTAAAATCTTACGATTTTACGATTCTATACGATTCTAAAATATTTCACTATTTGAGAGCTTTTAGTCTCTTTTATATTAAATTAAATTTTTGGGGTTGAATTTTGAGCCATGAAATTTTAATTTATAGTTTCACACAATGTTAAAATCACAAATTACTGATGAAATAAAAACATTAACTACAAATCTATAATACTCATCACTTTTAGTCTTTCACAGTTTCATTTACTCCCCGTCAGGAAAAAAAAAAGAAGAAAATACTGTTTTCTCCTTTGAAAAATCGCCTTTCTATGATTGGAAGATCCCGTGATATTGATGAGGGTGTATCTCCTCATGACGAAAATCTTGCGGGATGGAACAAAAGCTTCAATGATTATGGTGCTGATGATCATAAAGATGATGATGATGATGAATAATTTGGTTTTGAAATTGTTGTTGATTTTAAATATGATTTTTTTTTTGTTTGGTTCTTTTAGGATGTGTTTTGATGTTGTATTTTTAGGAGACAACGACAAAAGTTATACTTATATATTTTAATTATACTATTGGGGTTTGAAATTGTGCATTTACTTGTGATTTGAGACATTTGACTTTGTGTATTTGCTTATCAAGCTGTAACTACTGATGCGAGTATTACCTAAATTTAAGTAACTATATTTGAAAAGGCATAAATGTCAAATGAAAGTAATTTTTTAATTATATAGGTAATTTTTGTCATATTAATACCCCAACAAATTTAACAAATTTTTCTTAGAATCTTATGATTTTAATTTACTATTTTACGACTTGCGATTCTAACCCCAAAACGATTCTAGTTAAAATCCGGACTTTGCGAACATTGAGTATAACGCCAGGTGCTTCATTGAATGAGGACAGTTTTGGGAGGCATTATAGGGTTTAAATTCACCATTGTTTTGCATGTACCAATTAATCCAAGTTTAAGGTTGGGTTTTTTACTTTTTAGAAGTGACTGTGATATTTATGTGAGATCATTCACCCTTTGTATCCAAAGAATGGAAGATTAATCCCTGATTCAGTTAGAAAATTAAGAAATTTCATTTCGGTAGCAAAAAGGATAGGAACTGTAGGACTTTGGTTTGACGCAAATTAAACTTATAATCTAGCAAGTAATGGTGAAGTGCAAATAGAAAATGGGAGAAAAAAAAAAGAAAAAAGAAAAAGATATATATATATATATATACATATATATATATAAGAAGGAGCTACCTAACACTTAATTAATTAAAATCAAGATCAAGAATTGGTGTATTTCTTTTTTTTCTCAAAATTATTGTTAAATTTGAATTTTTAGTTTTATTATAATTTAAATTAAAAATTAAAATTAAAATTAGATAATAGTTTTGGAACAAGAGAGTAACAAATAATTCTTTATTCTCCAGTCACTTTGAAGCGCTGCACTAACGCTGCCAACCGCAAAGTCACCGTGACAATGCCAAGATTTTTGCCGGGGGCAAACACTCCGACCGACCCCAGATGATGCCAATTTAAGGTGATTATCATGTTTTTTTCTTTTTCTTTATTTTTGGTACAAATTAGTCGTCCTCAGAGAACAAACCCTTAGAAGGTGGATCACCGGTTTCGTAGCTGTAATGCTCATTAATGGCACGTTAAATGGCCTTAGATCATCATATATTAGCTTCGGTCAACGGCATATTTTTGTGAACCCAAAACTGAGAATCCAGAAATATGTCATTTCACGAATAGATGCACTTTCTTCTTTTCTTTTCTTTTTTTTTTTCTGGATATTTGTGTTGTGATCGTATATAAAAACTTTTTGAGTAAAATAATAAAACCAAGTTCATAAAATTTGTGTAAGATTTTTAAATCAGTTAAGAGGGAAGCAACATATTCCACTCAAAGATTTTTAATTACATGTACGAAACTGCCATTTATAAGTCATATCTGTTGAATACTTTTCATCGTAATACATTCATGCCACCTTCAGCACTGAAAAAAAATTACCAGAAAGAAGAGAATACAAAAAATTAAATTTAATCATAAAAGTTCATGTTGGGACTAAGAAGTTCGTGATTACGATACACTATACTAATCATGTACCAATCGGTTCAAATTAAGCTGCCTAACCTGCAGATGTTGGTTTGGTGCCACAATCGGTTTATGTAAATTATTTTTGAAATTAGTGGTTTCAAAATTCTTAAACCATAACTAACGGTTTGGTTTAGGGTTACTTGGGTGTGTAATTGGCTGTTTAAAAATTTATAACAAGGGTATTTCCACCCATATGCATAATTTGGCCAGTATCTTTTCATATCGTAATGTTTATCATTAAAACAAACCATTTTCACGAATTTATAAATATAATAATGATCAGAGAGACACTTGGCTAAAAAATTTAATGAGGAAACTACTATATATACGATTGCAAAATTACTCTCATTATAGACTTTTGTATTTTAAGGCATAATTTTATCTTGGGAATTGAATAACAGTCTAGTAGTTAGAACGCTGTGTTTCTTGGTACTAGGCTCAGGTTCGATTTCCACTAAAAGTATATGAGGAAGATTTTAATCACATTTAAGTGGTGTTCATGAGTGTGGATCTTTAAGGGAAAAAAGGGTATAATTTTACCTTGTATTTGTATAAAAAACAAATTAAACTAAAAATAATAAGGATATACATTTAACTAAATATACTTGAAAAAATTTCATGTTTTATCTCACAAATAAAGATTGAATGGAGACTTCCCGCTTCTTTGTATTACGAAAAAAATGAGTGTTCAAATTGGGATTTCAAATTTACAATTAGCTAATTCGATAGTAAATCATCAAATTGAACAATTATTTCAGAACGAATAGATTATTACGGTGAGGACGGTGGTTACAAGACTTACATGTATATATGTATGTCCACGCGACTCTTGCATTATTTTTAATTGCTGGGAATAGATTAATGAAGTTGGTATGCTAATGCTCGGACCCTAAGTAATCGAGAACGTGGGACTAGTTGCTGTACTTGACAGTTGACACACTTTGCCAAGCATTTAATCAATCCGAATCAGTATTTTGGTCAACT